GTTTAGCCATCTTGACACCATTTGTCATAAGAATCACTGAAAGACCATTTGAGTTATTCAGCTAGAGATTAAACAGGTTAAAGTCATTTTGTATCAGACCCAATGTCTTCCCAAATAAGAAATTGTGAGAGGAAAAAATCACTCAGGCCTTCAGTAATGGAACCAACATTCATACTCTCACTTCCATCTTCAAAGCCCATGAAAAAAACAAACAAGAGAACAGTGAATAAGTTTAAATAAGAGTAGCCATTAGAGAGGAAATCTGGATCAGGGGGTCGCAACAGCAAAATGGATCATCATGTCAACATAGAACTAAAGAGATCAACTAGAAAAGATCCAACTCAATCCATAAGACGTTTAGCTTGTGAGAGAGGACCTTCAGCTATGACAGTCCAAGGAGCAGTGAAAAAATACTTGAAACGTGTGAGACAAAATGTTACTACAGGACAGAAATTTAAAGGGTTAGAGAATGCGAAGATCTTCTTGAATAAGTTGGAATATGATCCTGGAATTATATAAATTTGAACTTAATTTCAATCATTCATCAGCTTTCGATCATTATCTACGATTAATTAATGATGAACATGTTATTTTCATTACTGATCGACTTCATCACGATTCTTCTATTAAGCTTTGGGAGCAATTACACATTCTTATTACTCAAAGAGCCTAGTGTTATAAAAAAACTCGGAGAATTCCCATAATATGTCTTTAATCATTCCTAAGATAAAACTTAAGCTAACAAATGGTCAATTTTGCTGTTACATGATTTGAACAATTTCACTGATACATTCAGTATATTGAATCCCGGAGAGAAATTTAGACCCAATAGACGTATAAAATATGGCGTCTCATTGAGGGTATAAGAGAAAATTTAGGTTTTGCCCTGGGGTGATTAATTTTTTCTAATATTGTCTTGAAGTTAATGAATATTACAAACCAATTTTTCCACATTGAGCTGATAATGACAAAACGTATCAAGCCTCTCACTGTTCTATCGCTATTTTCATGATGATTCCTCAGATGATCTACACTACTTAGTTCCACAAATTCTAAACTTCACGTCTAAGACGGCATATTGTGGTGAACCACGCTCATTCCCTTCGTATTCCACTGGTGGGATGTAAGTTCCACTCGAGCATCATCTTCTCACTACCCGCTGCTATGTGAAAACGACACTCAAGAGGATGATTCTCCATTCACTGCAATATTAATCTCTTCAAGTCTATTGTCAAGTCGAGTCCATGATGTTGGCATCGCTGTTCGCTCAACGCTTCTTAAGGACCTCCCTTCTGTTCCGACTGGTATCAGCGAAAATCTAATGACCTTCAGAATTCTTTTCTTCAATGAAGTCTACGCAACCTTTTTCAGTGTGTGAGCCCCGCCCCTAGATACCGTCGAAGAGATAAAGGATACCTTCTACGAATCTGTCGACACAGCCCAGCGAGCGGCACCTCGGACAGACGAAATCATCCTCCTTGGAGATTTTAATGCACGAGTTGGCTCCAATATGCCAGTCTCGAGCGGAATCATTGGATCGTAGGGTATTGGAAAAATGAATGCTAACGGACACCGTCTTCTAAGCATTTGTGTCGAGAATCAGCATGTGATTACCAATACAATTTTTCAACACTCGACCAAATACAATTGTTCTTGAATGTATCCGCGCTGTCGGACGTGGCACCTGTTGGATTACGTAATCTTTCGTCAACGCGATCGAAAAGATGTCCTTCAAACTCGCGCCATGCGTGGAGCGGACTGCTGGTCTGATCATCGTATGATTCACTCTCGTATGTATCTCTCGCTTCGGTCTCCGGCCCGCAAGACCAAAGCCACCCCTACACTCAATGTTGCCTGTCTTGAACAAGCAACTTCAAGCGAATTTACTCAATGTCTGTCAGTCTCTCGCAACACCTCCCACCGATGTTAACGATCAGTAGGAAATCGGCAGTATCCTAGCACACACACACACACACACACACACTATATATATATATATATATATATATATATATATATATATATATATATATATATATATATTGAGAATATTAGTGGTAAATATACGCATACATATGCAATCATATGTTTAAAATATATATAAATATATATACATACATACACATACATATATATTTGTATAAAAAATAAATCCAACAGGATAGAATCCAGGTAAAACTCAATGTCCCGGGCAGAGTAAGGATATAAGCCTTTTTTTTTTATTATTATTATTATTATATATATATATATATATATATATATATAGTTTTGTGCATGTCTTGTATTATAAAATCTCTCTACTTTGCCATTCTTTTTTTCTTTCAGCCATAACGTTCCGTCCGTGAAATTCCAATGACCATACCGGGGAAAATACAAATGAAAAAATACATCTTATTTCCAAATTTACAGTTACATGCTTTTTCCTGAAGAACCTTTCAATATCGTCATCTCTTAAAAGATAAATTTGTCTTTATCCGAAAATATGTTGGCTAATACCTCATAGTCATTTCCTGGATATCGCATAGCTGATTTGAAGATTTTAAAAAGAAAGATAATGCAAATACATTTATTTTATACAATCTCTCTTTCTTTATATAAGTAATATAATTTGAGAATTCCTACCTGTGTTAAAATATCTGCACCTGTCAAGGTATAAGGAAATTCATATTAAATTACTTGGGCGCCATGTTTTTCGCTTAAATCGCTTTTGAGTGAACGATATCATAAGATGTAATGAAAGTACGACGCCAGCTTATGAGAATATGAGTGTACGCGCAGATTCAAGTGTTTGAAAGAAGCGCATATTCTAAGGCTTCTTATTCTTTTAGAATTTGTCTTGATATTACGTTCACTTCCTTAATGCTCAAGCCACATCGCTCTTTTTAAAAAAGAATGTCTACTCAGCAAGTGATAATATTTATTTTATAAACGATTACATTAAATACACCGTTAAATAAACACCCGATCTCTAAAATAAACAAGAAACACGAGAAAGACATAATTCTCACACAATTGTTATTATTTCATTATTTTATGAATATTATTAAATTTTGTTGAATCATCAATGTTAGATAAGATAACAGCTTTAAATTGTACCAGGTGGCTTAATTATTTTTACTATCTTCTTTGTGTTTACACCTTCTATATTTATATATGTGAATCTCTCCGTAGCTAAGTTGTCAAAGCATTGCCGGATCAGGCGCTTTCTCTTGCAAAGGGGGACGGAAGTTCAAATCTTGTGCCTGTTTTCATTATTAAGTTTTCTCTAATACGCAGAACAATAGACGAAATAAACTCTATTTAAATAAACAGTACCTCTACTCAAATACGAGTAACCACTAAAATAACTTTTAAAGTAATTAACACACAAACACACACACATATATATATATATATATATATATAGAGAGAGAGAGAGAGAGAGAGAGATGGATAGATATAGATATATATATATGTGTGTGTATGTGTGTGTGTCTGATATTTAAAAATATAAAATAAATGTGGTATAACATCACTAAGGTGATAATGTTGAATGTAGGTCTACATTCAACATTATCACTTGAGAAGACACGAGAAGTGTTGAAGCAAAATGGCTATTTTTATAGTGAGGTTATAACATGTTTATGTTATAATTTTTGAATATATAATATTTGTTCCACTCTGTGTTGAGCACACATTTAAGAATTGTATTTTTGTTTATTGCAATTGTATTCCATCTACACAAATCCTGTACTTGAATACATATATATAGTTTATCGTGACGGGCAAAATAGCCTATTCGTTCTTTTTAGAATCTGCATTTTTGCGGTAATGTTCCTGTACTCCATCGACTAATTGTATTTTAGGAGACGATAGTCTTTCATTCTCGTTACACAGCACAGATAAGCATTTTGAAGTATAGTTTCAGTGGAAGTGCTTTTTGCAATCATGAGCATATCGATGTTCGAATTACAGCAGTTCGCTTTCAACATGGCAGGGAATCAATTTTAATAGACGTAATGACGACGCTTGTATAGGATAGACTCCATGAAGAACAGAAGGCGAAATAGATATGTGTGTGTGTCTGCATAACCGTGCGTTTGTGTTTGCACGAATATATACATATGTGTGTGTGTATTTGAACAAACACACACACACACACACACACACACACACACATATATATATATATATATATATATATATATATATATATATATATATATATATATGTATGTATAATTATTTATATATTATATGCGCTAAAGCGTGAAACCCAGGGTCACAAACTCACATCTATCCAAGCAATTATATATATATATATATATATATATATATATATATTTATTAAGGCTTTGTCAGTTATTATGCCATTGAGCTCTCTCCAGTGTGCCTCTGTAACAGAGTCCCTTAGGAGTTGCTTATGTGTGTGTGTGTGTGTGTGTGTGTGTGTGCGTGAAGACGTATATGCATGTATGTCTGCATGAAATGTATTTGGACAACTCATTTCTTCATACATGTTGTAGTAGATAACAAGTGAAACTCTTTCTTTTTTTTTAAAAGTATCATTTATTACCTATTCAGAAGGGAGGAAAAGAATTAAAACATCAGAAGATTTTTTCTCTATGACTCATTCTTATTGGTTCGTTTATTTGTGATTATTGCGTACAATGCCACCCGCGGCATTACAACTTTGACCCCGGTTCAACTTTTCATTTTTAATGGGAATGAACTGAATGTTTGGACGTCCATATATTCCTCTCTATTAAAGATCATTTTCAATAGATTGTTGTTTATTAACAATTTACGAAGAGGGGAATACTGCCTTTTCCCTCATGATTGGTAGCAATGATATACTTCGTTGAATCGATCACTGCAGTTTCTTCGACCGTCCTAGTTTTGAATGTAATGTGTGCATACACTTTGATCGTTATTCGGATTGATGGCATCATTTCTACAGTCACGATCTTCTATATCGAACATTGCGCTCCCCGACATGCCTCACAATTATAAAAGGACTACGGCCTTATAGCGTTGAAATATCGCTTCTTATACGATCACCGAAGTTAAGCAACGCTGCGTCTGGTTAGTACTTAGATAGGCGACCGCTTGGGAACAGCAGTTTTTCTAAGCTTGGATGTGAGGGTGCTATAACTGATAATGGCTCCTAATTGTTAATGAAAGAGCTGAGTTCCAATTTCAGTTCGGCTCGTTATATTAACTTACGTACAAATACCTTTGAGTAAGGTATGAATCCAACTCTATTCTCCCCATCTAAGGGTTAATTAATAACACTTCTCTCACGAAAATATTATTATCTCCCCCTCCCAAATTTTTGCAATCTAAAAATATCTAGCATTGAATAACCTACAAGGGTTGATAAGGCGTAGAGTTGAGGTAAAGGGAAATAACTGAGATATACGGAAGAGGTCTGACACGTGGAACTAGAACAATCTTCCTCGGAGGACGAAATAAAGGGTTTGGTTCGAAATTCCAATAACCTGAAAAAGGCCGGAGAGTACAACGGCCGAAACTTTGTGAATATGGCAATGAAGATGAGGATAACAGTCCGAATAGTGTAAATTATGCAAGTAATTATTATTATTTTTACAATCTGAAAATATTATCTGGCTTTAAATAACCTACAAGTGTTGTTAAGGCGTAGAAAACAAATCATTCAACCAATCTCAAGAATTATATAGAATTTTGTATTTTTCAAATGATTTGGAACTATTATTTTTTTTAATTTGCTATTTTTCACCGCTTAAAGCATTTAAAGAGCTAGCCACATGATCCATATATACTTCTTTCAATTATTATATAAACCATCCAGATGGTATGATGATTTTCTATGCTTAGCTTAGATATAGCACAAGGCCGAAATTATGGGCCGCCTAGTGAGGATCGAACTCACTACTCAGTTTTAATGGTTCTAGCAAAACATCTTGCTAACCAATACAACATGTTGAGGTGCCCAACCATCCAGATGGTATATGATGAAAGCAGTAAGAAGGATGCAATTTAATTTTGCCTTAAGCCAATCCCTTACCTTCATACTCTCAAAAAGACATGGTAAAATATATTTTAAATCTTTTTTCAGATAATCTTGTTGCTGATTAAGATAAACGATTATGAATATATATATATATATATATATATATATATATATATATATATATATATATATATATATATGTGTGTGTGTGTGTGTGTGTGTGTGTGTGTGTATTGTCATCCATTGACAGAGTGCTTCACTGTATCACAGCTCTTAATGTGGCTAGAGGTCTGATTGCTTCAAGCCGGGATCGAAAGCCGAATGATTTGGTATCAGTCAGAGATTCTATCGTCCCACGGCAGATATAATACACACGCGCACACACACACACACACACACACACACACACACACACACACACACACACACACATATAGATAGATAGATATTTTTTAGAGTTGCGGTTGTCGACGTGAATATATATATATATATATATATATATATATATATATATATATATATATATATATATATATATATATATATTCATGAATTATTCACACAAAAACAAATGCAAAGGTTAATGATTTAATTGGCGAGAAATCCATCGTCGCAAACAATTCAAATAATATACAAAAACCTCCGAATCCGTTATGAATGAAAAGATCCTTGTTTCTATAAATTTCTGCCGTATTAGTTCTTATTTTTACTACAAGCTTTCATCTGTTCCTACAGACATCTTCAGGTATTAATAGATGTCTGTAGGAACAGAACGCACAGGTTTACAGAGGATTGAGAACAAGAGTAAAGAAGCATGTTTGGGGAAAGGATACAGAGAAGGACGGGGAATTTGGTTTTTAGAGTTGCGACACGAAAAAGGATTTGTGTTACCTTGAAACGTTATGCATTTACGTTTTCTCTCTCAGTAAACTGTAGGGCAGACATGGCTCTCTAGTTCGGAATTGCAACCTTAAGAAATCTTTGATCTGACAAATCTCTTTAAGAATATGAATATAGTTTTTTGATAATGTTGGTTTTTCTAACAGCTTGCGGTGTGGGGCGAAATTACACCTAACCCACCCTATTGTATGTTCTAATTTTTTTTTTCTAATATTCTAAATTTGTTTTAGATTATCCACACATAGAGGTATTTGAAAATATATATTAATACGTCATTGTGGTAAAAGTTTTGTTAGTAATGTTATTAATATTATTAATGCTGTCACTAATATTATTTTGTGAAACAAGACTACAACATTCAGTATATAAGTATATTGTTCTTCCTTTTCATCTCTTCTTTAACTGCTTTGCTTTCTACTCTCTACGTCTAATTATATGATACTTAACTGACATCACGATATGGCGGACTATACAGATTTTTTTTTTTATTTGCCGGGTAATTTGATGAATGATCCACTTACGGAATGCAACTGTTTAAATTCAAATATCACTGTATTCATATTTGCCCTCATTTCTGTTGCATGAGACAGAATGATTTCATGAATTTTCTGTCAAAGAAATAACATTGATTTTCATTGTGTCGATTCAAGCATTTGAATTGTTCGCAATACCTGAAATGCAAATCGTATCCTCATTGACAAATCAGGTTAAATAATAAGATTGTTGATTTGTAAATAGTCATGAATATTTTCGATACATGACTGACGAAGCAGATTTTTTTTCCGGAGTAGGTTGCAATTTCTTTCCGCACTAGACCAGCTGCCATCCAAGGCGATAGAACTCGGTCTGTCTTGCTATTTACCAATAGCTGGCGGGAGAGGATTCATACCTTTCCCAAGAGTATTAATACATAAGTGAATGTAATGGATCGTCCACTGCTCATGTATTACCTATCTGTATACATGTAATTAGTGAGGCAGTTGATGATAAATTAATAAGGAAACAGATATCCTTCGATATTTCGAAGGCTTTTGAAAATTTAGAGCGTTGCTTTGGCATCTATCGTAGTAGATTCTTAATAATAAAGGCTTTCCCACTATGAAGATTGTCTTCAATGGTTACTCTTCTGATCTCCCTTGGATTTATAAAATCTTCTGCCATAAGTCTTTTATCGGTTCTATCCTCTTTATGTTTTATATTAACTATCTGCCATTAACATTCTCAAAACATTAGGAAATGTAATTGCTGGCGATGTGTGAGTTTAGGAAAGCACCTCCAAAAATCTCGATGACCAGAGCCTGGCTGTAAATCATTTTTTAACCTTACCTTTATAGATTAATGTAAGAAAGAGCAGCTTCTATATTTCGATAGTTTCAAAAACAATCTCGTAATGTACTATCACCATCAAGGAGAGTCTACATTTTCTTCAGTCATGAAGGTTTCAGCTCCCAACGAGGCTTCTTCCCTTGAACGTCTACTGAAAATAACTTTCAGCCCAGTGCTCAACTCGTATATACGAATCATCGCCAAAAATACTGGAAAAAAATAGCCAATTCCTTGTAAAGCTCCAGAAAGTATCTGACCCCTCCTGACAGACTTTATCTTTACAAGCATACCGAAAAATGAAGTTATACTGCCATACCAGGTTCGGAGGTAATCAACACTCACTTTCCTGCCTTGACAGAGTTAAATCTTTTGCGAAGACATTGAGGGTGATTACTTATTTACCACTATACACCGTTGTTACACACGAACGAAACATTGCTAGACTATCAGTTCTTGAACTCTATTTTCATATCAAGTGTTTTGACGGCCAATATACATCTTTTCCAGCAGTCCAGACCTTCATGGTTTCAACCTGCTATGTCACGTACACAGGATCGAATAATTCTCATTCTCTATGTATTCCATTGATAAGGAAGAAATTCCACCGGAGCACCTTCTTCAGAACTGTTATTTGCGGAACTTACACCCGAGAAGTTGCTTCCTTGATCACCACGATCTAAAAGGGTCAAACCTTATATATCCTACATATCCTCATAATAGGTACTACTTTTCTCATATCGCCGCTTGCAAGGTAATAATGACACTAAGACACAAGGAAACACTGAGCTGGAAAGAATAAGATGCATTATTAAGAAACAAGAAAAATAGAAGAGTAAGCAAGACGACAGTAGATAACGATCGGCATTGCATTTAAATTTTTAAAGAGAAAGTTATCTGGAGCGAGTTTCACAAGAGATAAGTGCTACATAAGTAACTGTTAGTCTAGAACTTATGGTTATATCTAGCCAATTCAACGGAGATCTTGCCACATATCTACTACCGTGCTTAAATTCATAAAGTCTATGTACCATAGCGAAGAGTTTATACGAACAATTATTATGAATGTATTTAGAGAAAATACACAGGGAAGTACATTACAGCAGTGGGAAATAGACTGAAACCTAGACGCTAAGTCAGCATCAATAAAATTACTGATACTTCTTTGGATTTAATCAAGAATCTCTATATATACAGCAGGAGTGCCAGACTATATATGGCAGTAATTTTCAAAAAATGGACGAATGGTAGACTTATCAATACGTAAGTTAGATTCAAGAAAGAAATAACACAGGGAGCCAACTTCCTTAGCAGATGATGTATTAATGAATTCTATATAATCTTTCTAATTCATATCAGCTGAGTTCGCTAGCTGAGAAAGCGCAAAGGTTGATAAACCGTAAAAAACAAATCAATCAATTCAAAGAAACTTTTACGCCCTTACAACATCATCAAGTAAACCTCGAATTTGATTGTCTATTTTATTTGATAAAAAATAAAAAAATAATTATGAGTGACAAACATTATTCTTATAATTTCTATGAGGCTAATAATTATTTTGCCTCTTGCTTTCCCTTATTTTCTACCTGCTTCCATTCAAATCTTATTTTTGTTTCTGTTCTCTTCAATTTATTTAAATTAACTTTTAATTGCTAACGTGTTTATTACCCTTTTGTCAGGCATGTTCTCGACAATATATATATATATATATATATATATATATATATATGCGAAACACCAACTAGTTTATATTTAAATCTCTCCAACAATATCCTATGTTGATTGCTGCACATATGTAGAATGTTTATCTTGCAAATTCCGATATTGGAAACTTTTTCAGTAAATCTTCGCTATTATTCATCTCTTTTTGTGATTTCATGATTAAATTTTGTTCCTTCTACTG